ATCAACCCTTACAGGTCGCCTTTGAGCATTGTGCACCTTTGAATATTGAGCACGAGTAAAAGAATTTTTGTATCAACGAGGATCGTGCATCACGGCAGCTTGTCTTTTTTCATCCCTGTTACAATTACAATAACTGAGTGGTAGCACTGCAATTTGGACGTATACCAACCTGTGTATTAGAACTGTAGTGCTACAGAGCCAGGCTCACTTCCTTTTCTCCCTGGACCTGGGAGCCAAAAATCAATGTCCACCTGCCCTTCTCCTTATTAAGTGCGCAACAACCAACACTCAACAATCATCACAACCAATGCCTATGTGCCAGCTCGGTGGGACTAATATAATATAATGTTGACAGTAGTACTCCTCATTTGATGCTAACCAACCGACACCTTCATGATATTTTGGTACCATGTGAGTCTGGCAGTGCCAAAAATCTGTGAAAAGGAAAACAATAGCGAAAAGTCTCCACCTGTGATTTGTCTCCCTCATTTTCTGTCATTTTTTGAATGAGTGAAAACTGCACAATATTATATGATCAAGCAAAAGGACAACATGTTCTCTATAAGAGACATCAACTACACGGGACAATGGCAGTCGCCTGTGTTCTCACAGTTAGATTTTAAAGTTAGTTTTTCTCTTTTCAGGGAACAACTAAGAGCAACTCTAGCAGACCCCGCATCCCACCGGCCCGCAAAACGCGTTTGCAGTTCGCACAAAATCGGTTTTGCGGGCTGGCTCGGGCTGGCACAGATGCAGACCCTCCAAACGGATCCGTAAAAAAAGTATATTCGCGGCCGGCCTTCAGTCCGGCTGCTGCCGCCCCTTCCTCCAGCCGGCCGCGCCCTGTCGCCCGCAGGCCATGCCCCGTCGGCCGTGCCCCGCCCCTGCTGGCTGCGCCCCATCACTGCGCCGGCCACGCCCCGTCGCCTCCTCGTCCGCGCACAGCTTGTCGGCCACGCCCCGTCGCCTCCGTCGTCCGCGCCTTGCTCTATTGCCAGTCGAGTCGTGCCCCTTTGCCTGCCGCGTCGGGAGGATTCCAGCGGCCAGGCTGAGGTCATGGGAGGCCACGACGATGTCGAGCTCGTCCAATTCGAACCGGCAGCGATCGATTGCGGCGTATAGCGGCCTTTTTCGATGTGCGGTGACGAATTCCAGAGAGTTTAGGGCGGATTCCGGCAAACTCCGCGGCGGCGTGTTTGCTCCGACGAGGTTTGACCGGTATACGGGGCCCCCTATATTCGGCCTTCCAACCTCCAAATATAAGGGCTTTGGCTGTGCATTTGCGGTGGCCCTTAAAAATTTTACGGGTTGGACTACTTTTACGGTTTCTGTTCTGGACACTTTTTTTGCCCGAAACTGTAAAACGCAAAATTTTTGCGGGTTTGACCACTTATGCGGGGTCTGCTAGAGATGCTCTAACATGAAGGTGTGAATGAACATCAATAATTCTGTCGTACGGATTAAGTACTGTAACACTTGCATGTCACTCTAAATTGGTGCGGTAGTGTGCTAAAGCCGCTAATTATAGCGTGATGCCCCTCCAGATGGTGTAGCACTGAGATTGTGTGTTATTTAAAACTTTGGGTATACATAATAATTTTTGAAATTAGTATGGATTATGTACATCCTAAATTCATTTTTGTTTGTATGCCGATGCAAAGAAAGTTCCAGAAATGGTAGCTTCGAATTCTCAGTTTCTTATAAGATACATAAGTTCGAGAAATTTATTATAATAAAGTAACCTGCAATCAATATGGTGGAATTCTCATTTTTATCCACTGGAGGTGGTCTGAAACGAATCGAGCTGCATGTGTGTGTCTATATAGCCAAGTCAGGTCAAGCATAATATCCACTCGTTACGCCACTGATCAAGGACGAGTAACCAGTGGTGGTTGGCACTCCCAAACTTGTGTGTGTCGTGTTCATGTCACAGTATTCTCCTCTATTGAGCATTAAAGGTCGCATATGTTCACATTCTATCTTCAACAGCCGCCCTATTAACTAAGCGGTGTACCTTTCTTAATTAGCTGCCAATTCACAACTGCCCCGAGAGCTACGTCCTCATCTTCTTCAACCCGACCACCTCTTCATTGCTGATCTCTACTTCTCATCTTGTTCATTTCTGTTCACGTTGTATTTTTCCAGCATAGTTGGTTCATTAGGATTTCCGTGTTCTAGTAATCAGGCAACATTACCGCTTGGTTATATTTTGAACCTTTTTTTTATCAAAGCATACATGATGTGTTTGAGCGCACGCACCTTTGAATATTGTGCATGAGTACAAACTATGAACTCACTTACTCCCAAATTTTGAAACAACGAAAACTAATAACAGCAAACTGAAGTCTGTACTGCAGTGTGCTTCATTCTGTTCTTGAAACACCCTCCAACCTCATCTTTGGATCAAGGGTGTGAGCTTCATTTCTGACATGTTGAATGCATACAAAATCCAAAACCCAAAATCATCTACATGTGGGAAAATTATCGACACAATTTGGATAATTATCATATATACAAAATGACGAGCAACCAGTAGGCTGTCTACATTATTTCAACAACAAAGTGAAAATGGGCAGTAAAATTATCATGTCTCTTTATTTGTCCGGCATTGCACCATGTCGTGATGTATTGACGAGGATCGAGCATTACGACAACATGTATTGATGACAGCTTGTAAAACACTCAACAATAACCACAACCAATGCATCTGCTCCAGCTCGGTGAGAGTAATGTCACCACCAACTAAAAAATATCATGAACCCATAGTACTCCTCATTTGATGCTAACCAACCGACAAGTTCATAATGTTTTGGTACCATGTCATTCTGGCAGTGCTAAAAATGTGAGAAAAAGAAAACAATGACGAAAATTATCTGAGTGTGAGTTGTCTCCCCCATTTTATATCCTTTAGTACGTACTGAGTGAAAACTGTACAATTATACTATCAAGCAAAAGGACAACGCTTTCTCTTTAAGGTCCATCAACTACACACATTTTACGTCCAAGTATGAAGATGTTTTTTCTGCGGGGAAGAACTACCACCAAGGTGTGAATGCTATAGTGGCTTATACCAACAATTATGTATGAATCAAGTGTCGTAGTACCATTTGGTTTATCTATCCGTCTGGTATACATCATAAATTTTTAACTAAGAGTTTGGATTATGTATATCCTAGATTCAGTTTTGTTTGTATGGGGATTTAAAAATATCAAGAAATAGCACTCGGTTATAGTAGTCCTTAGTTTTTTTATGAGCATACATAATTTCCTGAAATTTATTATAATATAATTACATGGAATTAATATCGTGGAATTCTCGGTTATCCGTTTAAATTTTGAATTTTTGAAACTCATAAAATAGCATGGAAACCATTGGGTATAGTTTTAAAGAAGCCTAGAAAAAGTATCATGAATTCTTAGTTTTCTTAGAAGAGGCATAATTTCTCTGAATTGGCATACTAAAATTTCATAGGATTAGTAGTTTCTAATTCCTAGTTATCCACTCAATATTGAATTCTAGAAAATCACATGTTGTTTCCCAAAAAATATCCCCAGAATTAATATCGTGGATTTTTTAGCTTTTTCAAAAGAAGAAAATATATATTTCTTGGTATTAGTACAATAAAATTATTTTGAATTTGTATTGTGGAATTATTGGTATTCCACTAAAGAAATTTGGAGAATCACGAAGTGTCATGAAAATAACTAATTGTTTTTTGTATAAAAAAGATCTTGGAATTAGTGTCATGAAATTCTAAGCTCACTTAGGACTTGCATAATTTTCCGGAATTGTAGTGGTCATCTTTGGTACGGGCAGCTTGTCTTGTCATTTGTAATTTAGATTATGTGCTCACTCGTTAGAGCCCAGTGTACTCCCTCCATTTCTAAAAGGAAGGCATCTAACATTTTCACCTTTTTTCTCCAAAAGTAAGGCCTATAATGATATAGACCAATCACAAACCAAGATGAGTGGGTGGACACTAGCATGATCGGTGGGCTTTGTTTTATGTTGGTATGTGTGTATCCTGAAATCTCGATGCTGATTTGACTCCAAGAGCCCCCCAAAAAATCTGTCGTCCTTACAAAATGTTGGCTAACAGACACTGAAAAATCACAACTAAGTGTATTCTAAAAAAAAAATCACAACTCGAGAGAGTAACATGCCAACAGCTCGAGAGTACCTTCTCATTTAATCATGATGTGTTGGTACCATGATGGCAGTGCCAAAAAATCATCATCTGCCCTGCCCTGATCTCCGCACCACCTGCTCTTCACCTCCGCCATCACCTACTCCCCAGCCCAGCTCCTTCCACCTCCTCCCTGGTGACTCAGCTCCCTCTCTCACCACGGCCACAGCGGCTCCCGGATCTAACCAGTCGCACCGCCGCCGCACAGCAACAGGTCAGACCTCTCTCTCTCTCTCTCTCTCTCTCTCTCTGTCATTGTTATGGGCTTAGGGCCGACTGTTGGATTCGTGAGATTTGAATGCTCCAGGATCAATGCTTGACATCTAAAACACACAAGTATTTTTAAGCTTTATTGTGTGCCCTGCTTCCCATAATTCCTGTGTAAAAATAAAGAAAAGAAAATTATTCTACTTTGTTTCCGTTTCTCCCTCTCATTTGTGAATTATGATTGGAAATCCTCTGGCCTGATGCCTTAATTTCATTTCTCTTGTGATCGAACAGTCCGAACAGGTACCATTCTCTGGCCAACTAATCATACTTTTAAATCGTGGGTGAAATTACCGCTATAGCGGCGCTATCGCGGTTCAGAATCTTCCCCGCGATTTGCTTCCTTCCCAAAATCGCGGGCGATCGCGCCAATTTCGGCGGAGATCGCGGCCTTCCTTCCTATAATTTCGCTGCCAATTTTCCTTCCGCTAAACTCCTTTGCCCGCGATTTAAAAGTATGGTACTAATACTATACACGCACACTCGTCTCCTTTCATTTGCAGCTTACAGCAGCCTACTTACGAACGGATTCCTTTTGATTCCTGGATGCAGGTGCCTCACGTCGTCCATCCCTGCATCCGACCAGGGGATCCGATGGCGGACGCCGCCCTCAGCGCGGCTCAATGGGTGGTGGGTAAGGCGCTAGCCCCCGTTGCAGATGGCGTGCTGGAGGCTTGGGCGGCCACCAGGAACTTTGGTCCCAGCATCGAGGCCCTCAGGATGGAACTGTTGCTCGTGCAGGCGACGCTCGAAAATGCTGCCGGCAAGGAGATCTGCGGTACGGCCATGGAGGAGCTGCTGCAGATGCTGCGGGACTCGGCACACAATGCCGAGGACTTGTTGGACGAGCTGGACTACTTCCGCATCCATGATGAGCTCCACGGCACGCACGATGCTGCTGACGAGCATGGCAGGAGTGGCATCCATGGCCTTGTCCTCAATGCTTGTCACGTCGCCAAAGCTGTTGGCAAACATCTGCCATCTTTGCCCGCGTACTGGTTTGGCGCCAATGCTGGTGATCCCCGACAACAAGATGCAACACAAAGTGCCAACTCTTTTGTTTGGCCACGTGGTAGGAAGAGGTTACGTGACGATTCCTCCTCGGAGCCAAATGCCAATCAGGCTGATGAGGAGGTCAGCAGACGCAAGAAGCACCAAATCTTGATGTTTAATAGGGTTGATTTCGCCCAAAGGATGAAGGACATTGTAGAGAAAATGCACCCTGTGCGTAAGGATGTTAATGAGATTCTGCTGGGTTGTGGCCCTAGAACTGTCCCAGACATTGCGCAACATCGTCCCACCACCACACCTCAGAGTGCAGAGCCAAAACTATATGGGAGGGACTGTGTCATGAATAGCATCATACATGATATCATTGAGGGTCAATACTGTGACAAGGGTCTAACTGTGCTTCCTGTTATTGGTCCGGGGGGAATGGGGAAGACAACTCTGATACAACACATATATAACAACCAACAAGTGCAGAATCATTTTCTGGTCAGGATTTGGATATGTGTGTCATTCAGTTTCAACCTGGACAAGGTGCTAGAACAGATTAAAAAGTATACTCCTAAAGTGGAAGGTGAAAAGGAGTGTATTAGACCAGAAGAATTGATTAAACACAGATTGAAACACAAAAGGTTCTTACTTGTATTGGATGATATATGGCAGTTTACTGATGTGGATGACTGGAAAAAACTATTATTGATACTCGGCAAGTCACAAGAAAATGGTTCCATGATTCTAGTCACAACTCGGCATAAAAAAATAGCAGATCAAGTTAAGAAAACTGAAGAACCAAAAGAACTGGACGGTTTAGAACCTGGAGAGTTTAGGAAGTTATTCCTAATATATGTCTTTGATGCTGAGCAATACCCAGAGGATAAACGTCATTTGCTTCACATTGGAGATAAGATAATGGAAAAACTGAAGGGCTCCCCTCTTGCAGCAAAGACCGTTGGCAGATTATTGAGGACAAACCTTAGTTTGGCTCATTGGAGAATGGTCCTAAAAAGTAAAAAATGGGCGAAGGAGACCGATGACAATGGAATTATGCCTGCCTTGGAGCTTAGCTATGACTTTCTCCCTTTCCATTTGCAAAGGTGTTTTTCCTATTCTGCATTATTTCCTGAAGATTACCATTTCAGAAGCCATGAGCTCATCAGCCTATGGACCGGACTAGATATTTTGACACCTTCTGATCAAAACCCAACCTTTGAAGGCACGGGTCTGAGCATTTTAAATGACTTAGTCATCCATGGATTTTTAAGAGAATATAAAACTAATGGTGATATGCGGTATGTTATGCATGACCTATTGCATGAGTTGGCATTGAAGGTTGCATCACATGATTGCCTTAATTTTCGCCTCCCTGATGTTGGATCGGTACAAGTTAAGCCATCCACCCGACACCTGTCGATAAGTATAGAGAACTTGGGTGAATATAATGGTCAAAAATTAAAGAGGGAATTGGAAAAACTGAAGACAAGTTTGAAGATTGAACATTTGCAAACACTGATGTTATTTGGAGCAACGGATGAAGGTTTTGCTAAGATATTTGGTGATTTTCTTGGGGAAGCAAATGCTCTCCGTGTTCTTTATTTACCCCACCTGAAGTATCCAGTGGAGTCTATGGTACATAACTTTTCAAGACTTGTCCACCTACGATTCCTATGTCTAGGGACATTGAAGAGTAAGGTGCCCATTATTTTACCACTTAACATCTCTAAATTTTACCATCTAAGGGTTCTAGATCTTAAGTCATGGTCTGGCAGTAGCAGGGGCGGAGCCAGCCCAGCGGGCCGCCCTGGGCCCTCTTCATATACTGTAGCAGATGTGGATAGTAAATCGCTACGGTACAGGAAGAAATTGGGCCTCACGCCCCGGGCCTGGGCCCTAGGGGCCAGGGGCCTGTATCCGCCACAGGGTAGTAGTGATTTTCCTGAAGACATGAGCAACCTTGCAAAATTGTGCCATTATTATACTCCAAGAGATGATGAGCTTCATTCTAACATTTGTAATGTGGGAAAACTTGAACTCTTGGAAAAGTTAAAGGTATTTCGAATCAATAAAAAAAGTGAAGGATTTGAACCAAAGCAACTAGAGCATTTGACCAAGCTGTGTGAGCTTGGCATCTACAACCTTGAGAAAATACATACGGAAGATGAGGCAGCTCAAGTAAAACTCAATGAGAAAAAGTGCTTGAGAAGGTTAACATTGGACTGGGATAGTGAGCAATCTAGTGTTGAGCCTGGTGTGGAAGCAGTGGTTCTTGAGTGCCTTCGACCACATGAAAATCTTGATGTGTTATGCATTAGAGGGCACAGAGGCCCCACTTGTCCAACATGGCTGGGTGATGAGCATGCTGTTGAAACTCTGCAATCTCTTTGTCTTTATGCTGTTTCTTGGAAGGTTTTCCCTTCTTTACGGAACATGGGGGATCTTTGTGAACTTGAGATACAAGGCTGTCCAGGATTCTCATCAGTGATTTCCATGTCCTGGATTGAAAATCTGCGCCGTGTCATGGTAAAACATGTAAAGTTACTAGAAAAGTTTGAGTACTCAAAATCATCAGATGGAGTAGAATTGAAAATTAAGGGAAAGCATGGTCTGCATGGCTTAGATCAAGTGTTAGTTTTCGATAAAGAAACAAGTCTTGAGAAGCTGACACTTAAGAGGTGCCCACCTCTGGAGTTGAAGCACCTTCCGATGCTAACCTCGTTGAAGACATTGATTGTAGAAAATTCAGAAAGTCTGGTTGGACCACTAGGAGGTCAGGGTAATGGGGAATGGCAGCTGCCTGTTGAGCACATCAAGATCAGCAACTTGAATGGTAATAGTGGGAAGGAATTGACAGAGCTCTTACCCCACCTCCCAAAGCTCTCCAATTTGGATATACAGCATTGTAAAAACATAGAACAGCTGGTGGTGGGGGTGAATGTGCAACAAACAACACCAGCAACATCAGAGCTGGTCTTCCCAGCTCATCTCTTTGACTCATTACGGGAATTGAAGTTCTATGCCTGCCAAGAGCTGGTCCTGGTGGACCCACCAACTCTTCTTCCTCGAGGAGTATGGCTCCAAGCCTTGCGATCACTTCAGAGATTAACAATACAGGAGTGCCCAAAGTTTCTATCCGCCTTCTCGTTTTCTGGTCACCTTTTTCCTTCCTCCCTGGAGTTCCTGAAGCTTACGGGTGTTAAAGGCATGGGGACAGTAGAGCCCCTCTCAAACCTCTCCTCCCTTACCAGATTAGAATTGTATCGGTGCGGAGAGGATCTAAAATGTCAAGGCTTGCAGTCTCTCCTTACCACCAGTGGCCAACTCAACAAATTAAGAGTCATAGGTAGCCCTGGTTTCTTTGCTAATTGGGTTCCCAATCCCGAGCGGGAGTTGGAGGATGTTCAAGGAGGAGAAGAGCAGCCTGTTTCATCGACACTGCAGGAGCTCTACACGTATGTTGACGAGGGACTCCTTTCTGCACCCGTCTGCAGCGTCCTCTCTTCCTCCCTCACCATGCTGAAACTTCAAGGGGGTGGGTGTGAAGGGATGGAGCGCTTCAGCAAGGAGCAGGAGGACGCCTTTCAGCTCCTCTCCTCCCTCCAGCAACTTCACTTTTCGTGTTTCCAGAAGCTTCAACAACTTCCTGCAGGACTGCGCAACCTTACCAGCCTCAAGGAATTAATGATCTACGACTGTCCAGCTATCTCGTCATTGCCCAAGGATGGCCTCCCCAAATCACTGCAAAAGTTATGGGTCAGCAACTGCGGCAACCAGGAGCTAATACAGCAGTGCAGGGGTTTGAAGGTAACACAAACATACATTCATGTGTTCTTCCACTTAACTCTTTTCCTGCAATCCTGCTTAATAACACTGCATTTGTTTCCATCCTATCTGCAGGACATCATGCATGACATTCTTATAAACACAATTGCCACATGCATGACATGAGGGCCATGTGGCTGCCGCTGTATCATATCAATTTGGTAAGTACATTTAAACTCGAACTTTGCTCCTGTTGTATCATATCAATTATATCACTTTCCACTTATACTCTCTGAAAAAAGTATATATACATATGCTCCTGCTATATTAGATTCCCATTTTGTTCTCAATAGTACTGGAAGTACTTAAGATTTGTTCCTCAATGGCCTTTGTCTTTCCACAAGTCTGACAAAGTTGCAGAGGCTAGGGCTTTCAACCTCCTTTTCAAAAAAAAAAGTCTGACAAAACCAGCGGAATTATAGGCCAATTTCTTCTGCAAGTATCACTTCTTTTCTTAATTATTATAAAGAGTAATTACCAACAAAACCTGTGATCACCATTTATTTCGGTTCTCTGTGCAGGCGTTCATTCCATCTTATAGGCTTCTTCAAATTTTGCATTTAAATTTGGGTTATTGTCATTGATCAAGAGGTGGTAGTCTACTTGCCCAATTTGGGTTTTACAATCAGAATTATGGGATAAACGAGATACTCATATAAGGTTATAAAATGTTTTCAGCCACTGCTACGTTGATGGCAATACCAGGTGTTGATGCATTCTAATTTCTGTTGGCTTGCTGTTCAGGTGTTCTCGTGCTTCTGATGTCTTGCACCTACTTGGCCGTCAGTACCGTTTGTGTTTATATTCGTCCAAAACTCATGAAGACTTGATGGTGTATCTGCAAAGTTCAATTTTGATATTCAAAAGGTCATCATGGCATAATTATGAAAAGCACCCGGTTTCCTGTGTTCTGCCACCAATAAGGTTTGCATTTTTGTATCCAGTCTACATTCAACCAATACCAGGTATTCTGCATTTGCCATACCTGTTTTTGTTTAATAAAATTTAATTACGCAGAGGATCTTCACAAGAACATCCCGAGTACCATAGCAGTGCACGTGTGCAGCCAATTTTTAATGAAACAGTGAATTTTGCATTGCAGGGCATGTGCAATTTTGAAATTTCAGAACCCCATTAAGTCATCAAGATGCATAATTACAACAGACTGGTAGACCTGCAGGGTAAGTTTATGAGTTGACCAGAATTTGTACATACTATGGCATCATACAATCATTTTCTCTGTCTACTCTTTGGGTTTGCAGTTTTGAATTGCTTGAGACTGAAATTTGTAGTACTGTGTTTATTAAAATGTACAGTGCAACGGTACATGCTTATCTTTCCCTGGATGAACACTCTGTTATGTCTTGAAATCCTTCACCAATTGCTCAACATCAAAATGCGTGTTCTGAATGTATGGTACTGCTCACAGTCAGGGGAAAAGCACGTAGCACTGCTGATAAAATTCAGGGGGAGATGACTTGTCATTCATTTCATTTTAGAAGGTTTAGATGCCGCTGAACAGTGCCATAGCCAGGTTTCTCTTACGCCCCGGGCCAGCAGTGTATGTACAGTAAATACTGTATCTACAGTATGTGACTGTAGCTAAAATTAACAAAGGAAACACACCGCACGCCCCCAGGCCACCGCCCTGGTAGCCCTGGGCGTGGCTACGCCCCTGCCGCTGAACATGGTTTAGAGCATCTCTAGTGGATCATCTATATGGACGTGTATAACAAATATACACGATACCAGGTAAAAAACTACTCCCAACGACTTGTGCAAAAGGGTGTGTAAACATCCACGCCCAGTCCACGACGGTACGAGGCGTGGAAATATACACGAGCAAGCCACGCTCGTGAGCTCGCGAAAACGAGACGGCTGCTTCGTCCCGCGCCCGCCCGGAGGAAGAATCGGAGGAGCTCGCCCCTAGGTCCCCGTCGCGTTTCTTCTTCGGCCGTCGCCCAAGGTAACAATTTCTTCCTCTCTTCGGCCTTGCTCACGAGCGGGAGGGCGGG